AATATTTAAACTGGTTTTTAGGCATAGATATCGTTCTAATAACCGTGTGAGCATGAAAAAAACCTATTATTTTGACATTACAAACAGACACTTCAATTTTATTTATTTGTATAGATTAACAAAAATCTTTTTTCAATTGGCGGGATATAATACTTATGATAAGCTAGTGTATGACACACGGCCGTTTGATTCCAAGCTAGGCAGAGTTTGTATCTGTATTATGGTAACCAGACTATTTTTTAAAGGGACTAATCCCACCCACACGCATACCACTGTAACTCCTGTACACCAGGATCAACAGCAGTGACCCACGATCACACCGAGTTATGACACTCGGGAAGTCCCAGGAAGAAATTAAACTGTCTTGGAACCCATCAGAAGACAATTGAAGGAGTTGGAAATACAGTAAATCCACTTCCCTCCTTAGCAAAGCGGGAGACAAAATTAAGTAAAATAGCAGAACGTCCAGTCCTCAGAATGTACATTTAGATAAAAAGGACCTTTCAGAAAGGACATTATGCGCTGAGACGGTCCCTTGTGGTTCAATTCCCACGTTACAAAGAGTTGTCCATGTGGGGATCGCACTCACAACACTCAGCGCAGTAGGTGAGGTGACCGCTTACTACGCCATTCGTGCGGTCTATGTACGTATTAAGAAGTATATAAGTTTGTTTATTCAGAAATATATGTTCCCGGTTGACGGTAATAAGCTTTCATCTATTACGTGAATATTACGCAAAATTAGGGCGATTAAAACGCCCCTGTCTACCCCTTCGGTATAAAGAGCGTGAGTATATGGTACATGTATAGCTTATGTCTAACAGAATTACAAAATGTGTTCGAGTCCAAGTATGGTGCCCATTCTCGCCCGCATCAATTGTTTGGCGCGCGTCCTGATTATTTAATGAACTTAAATTATCTTTGTATGCATGTCAGTATAGTTTATATATTGACTAGCTTATGCCAGCGGCTCCGTCCGAGTAAATGTCGGTTAAAGCGGTAAAAAACATATGTCTTTCCTCAAGAATCAAAGTATTTTCATACCAAATTTCATCTAAATCGATTCAGCGGTTATTGATTTCCCATACTAAGTTCCACCCCTTTTTTACCTCGTTAAATAATGATTTCCGGGATAAAAACTACCCTATGTCCTTTCCCGGGACTCAGACTATCTCTATAACAAATTCCATCGAAATCGGTTCAGCGGTTTAAGCGTGAAGAGGACAGACAGACACACTTTCGCATTTACAATCTCACATTTTTTTGATATTTCATAGGTATATGTATATAGCAAACGTCTACCTAAAAACGAGAGGAACTTCGGTCCATAGACCGCTCTCGCCGTTTTTGTATAGATACCTATAGATTTGAACCAGTTCTAACTTGTGTAGTTCGTTAATTATTACTTTTTTAACCCTCTGTGGGTTCATTTATTCATAACTGGTAAAGCACTTCACTAGAGGGGTGTCGTACAATACACAATAAAGGGGTCCCAGATACTTCAAAATAATAAAGAATTCTAATTTAAAATATATATTTTTAGGGCGCCGTACGCAAAGGGTAAAACGGGACCCTGTTACCAAGACTCCGCTGTCCGTCTGTTTGTCTGTCTGTCTGTCTATCACCAGGCTGTATCTCATGAACCGTGATAGTTAGACGGTTGAAATGTTCACAGATGATGTGTTTCTGTTGGCGCTATAATAATAAATACTAAAAATAGAATAAAATATATATTTAAGGGGGGTTCCAGTACAATAACCGTGATTTTTGCCGGTTTTATAAATCCGGCCTGCACTTGGCGGGTTTTTTATTATAATATTTTGCTTGTATATTTCGTTCGCTTTCCGTTCGTTCGTTCCTTTTACCATGTTTTGGCTCGACCAGAGTGGCACCACAGCCTCACAGGAAACCGATGTTAAGTTTTACTTGTTTTATTTTTCAACAACAATATTATGTACATACAAGAGGTAGATACGCCACCAACGCACAAAACGTGATGGTAATAATTAGGACCACAAAAACGCGCGCACGTACTAATAGACCGAACATCGGCCGCAAAATTTCCAGGGTATGTGTTATATTGATTAAAAACCATCAGGAATTATGGTAATCACGTTAGTAAAGAATAGGCGCCATGATTGCTTGGATAAAAAATTACCCAAGTTGAGGCAATCACGAGTTTTTATCGCAAAATTCAAACCCTAACTCGGTCCATATGTTATAGTGATTAAATCTATGTCAAATTGTAGAGTTTAAAGTGTTATTAAAGAAAAAAATGATAAAAAGTGACCCAATTTGAGGCAATCACGAGTTATATGGACCAAGTAAGTATTTGAATTTTGCGATAAAAAACTCGTCACTCGTCAGGCAATCCTTTTTTTCTTGAATAACACTTTAAACTTGACGTGGGTTTTATCACTACAACATATAGACCTTGGCCCATATGTTATAATAACAACTATGTATGTGAATTTTGCAATAAAAAATTACTTTCTCCACTGGGAATCCTGGGAATCATGGCGCTTATTCTTCACTAACGTGAATACAATCATTCCTGATGGTAGCCTGGAAAGACCGCCCGCGTCTTGGTCATTAATTAATTCGAAAAAAAAAAATGCCTTCTGTCGCGGTACTGATCACAAATAGTTGTCTCTTTCACTGTTATGCTTTCTCTATTTCCTATCGTATGTAGCGTATGTTTTGTTGTAAAATACATATGTTTAGTGTTACGGAACAAATATTTTGGTCGTGCAGTATGAATATAACGTATCTTCCTTGAAATATCATTGCTTTTCAAAGAATGTGTGAGGTTACCGGAGGCCCAACACCTAGTCTTGTCTCTTGGAAGGAAGACTTTTGAGTTTGTAGGTGATCATGGACAGCGGTAGTCATATACCATATCTTACCTAGTTACAAGCTTGTCTGCTCGTTTGCCTTACAATACTATATAAAAAAAAATACGAGTTAAAATGGCGTCTGGTTATAATGTCGACAGAAAGTAATAAACTAAAAATTATAAATAAAATTCATGTTGCACAATCCTCAGAACATGAAAAGGAATGAATCAATTGTATGACTCGTTGTATGACTATTAATGTATGTATTTCCTTTAAAGGTTTTCTTGGAATTCGTTTTGTACGTTTTATGCTCAGAATCTGCGATTTCGCGCCAGTGTCAAAAATGTGAAGTTTTTTTTTTAATTTTGTTAAATTTGCTTTTAAAAATGTTTGGAGGTGTGGTGCTGATTTTAAATCATAATAAGCTCGATTCGTACTATTTTCCTATTTGTATCTAAGAAATGATAAATTCAAAAATAAATATCGCTACAGGCAACACTCGTTACATATGTCAGAATTTTAGGCGCGAAATCGCAAATTCTGAGCATAAAACGTACAAAACTAATTCCAAGAAAACCTTTAAAGGAAATACATACATTAATTTACCTATGGTAACCAGACTGCTGATAAACATACTTATATATTTCTAAATACTATACTTTACTGGGTGGGAATTGAACCCACCACCTCTAGCTTAGCAGTCAAGATTACTTAAAACTATTCAAACAAGCCAGTTAAATAAATTACTACAAGAACTTATGTTTAAATTCTTTGGATATTTTCATTCATCACTTCATTCATTTAATTTTCTAGTTTTTTTTCAATAACAAATATATTTTTTCCTACATTTAAGATTGTTTTTAATTTAACTTTAATAATATATAGCACTTGGATGCGGGCAGCACTGGGCTGGTTATTGTAGCGAACCTTAGGGGAGGCTATGTCCAGCACCTTCTGCGAGGAGGTAATCTCGACGGAGTAGGCCCGGGAGGACGACCTCCACTCGGACCTGATCCGCCGCCGGCGAACCGGGCGGCGGAGGCGCGCTCACCTGCGCCTCATGCCGCCCTGAGTGTGGCCGCGGGTGGACGGGATGGGTTCTCCCCTCCACCCGCATTAGTTGGCCAGCCGCGAGGGGGCGGCATCCGCGTGTGCCGGACGCCGCCTAAAGAGAGGAAAATTTTGAGACGGAGCCCGCAACAGGAGCGGGCCGGCGCTGGGAGGGGTCCAGAAGGCGATAACTACCTGGACCCCTCCTAAACTGGAAGCGCAAAGAGGGCACACCGTGTGGTTTTAGTCGGTTCGAGTCCGACACACCGCCCCGCCGAACGAGAGCCCCGACGGGGTGACGGTCCGAGGGGATTTCCACACGTAAAAAAAAAAAACAAAAAAAAGGCTATGTCCAGCAGGGTCCGGATACCTTAATAACAGCTGTTCCCGGATCCCTCTTATTTGAAGCGCAAAGTGGCACACAGTGGATTCGATTTTCGTGGGATGACGGGCCGAGGGTTTCCACACGTAAAAAAAGTGGTCTGTGTCCAGCAATATCCACTTTCGGCCGGAGGATGATGATATGTGGTTACGGTAAGGCTCGCTCGTATATTAAGGAGTATGCTGTGAACGAGGGGGTCATCTACAGGCCATATATGACCTGGGGTCTGTTGGGGTTTCAGGGATTTCCTTCCTAGGGTACACCTGGTTCACCGACTACGGGTCTCCGAAACGGCGTGCGGTTAATGTCCGACATAACCACCGCTGGGTGGTATCCAAGGGGATCCCGTTAAATCTATATCTATACAAATAAATAAAACTGGAGTGTCTGTTTGTAATATTAAAATAACCGCTTTTTACTAAATGCATATGTATGTTTACACGGTTCATATGCCAAAATAACATTTTTTCCAATTTTTGTCTGTCTGTTTGTTCCGGGTAATCTCTGGAACGGCTGGACCAATTTCGACAGGACTTTCACTGGCAGATAGCTGATGATATAAGGAGTAACTTAGTAACTTACTTTTTTTAGACTAGCTTCGCCCCGCGGCGCTGCCCGCGGTTATAACAACAAACGCGGGTAACACCGCGGGTCTCAGCTAGTATTATAATAAAACACGTATATATAACATCTATATGTATTTTAATTAGTTTATAAAGAACATTTCAGTCTTATTTTTGTTTAATTTCCAAATCATTGTCTTCTGGAGCAAGTGAGACAGTATAATTCCCAACAAGAGGGCCCTTTTTTGGTACTATCTCATTCACTCTTGTAACATTCGATCCGGAACAGGTAGCGAAATCTGTTATAATACTAGGCTTAGATACACTAGATGCCGATATACTCGTATGATTAATATTAGTTATGTTATTTGAATACTGAGCATCCATTATCGTTTTTAAAATATCAACTTGGACTTTAGAAAATACGTCTGGAGACAACTTTTTTAACAAACACCGTATATATTTAATAAAAGTGTCTAATTCTGACTCCTCTTCTTGTTTCTCTTCTCTCTCTTTTTGGGGTTCGCTATCTTTCTTTACTTTGATAATTTGATGGTCAGTAGAAGAGTTAATTCTGGTACGTTTTTGGGGACGGTTCTGTATGTACGTGGATATTATTTTGGGTTTGTCGCTGGTTCTCGCGGTGTCGTCCGAAGCTGAATCTTGCTCGAGGTACACTACCTCTGTGTACGTATTGTCTTCGTCATCAGATGCGTTGGATTTTGTGTCTTGATCCTGTGATAAGAGATTGAATTATTATAAAGTTAAAACAAGCATCACCTTTTTGACCTTGTTTCTATTTTAATGTTTAAATTTGGAATGAGATTCTGGTTTGGGCATAGGAAGCAAACGAGCAGACGGATCATCTGATGGTAAGTGATTACCGTAGCCCATGGACAGTTGCTATTCAAGAGTCACAAGTGAGTTTTCCGTCTTTGAGTCCGTCTATCTTCGGGCCCCTTCCTCTGGGCTCTGGTAACTTTGACTCACACAGTGAACAGCAACGACTCCTTAACACCAGTTTTTTTTTGAGGCCGTGGTATTACTCCAATCGAGCCTGCCCATTTCTGAAGAATCATGGCACTCGCAAGGCTAATATAAACTCTGCAGAACAACAGCACTGCAAAGAGAAGGAAAACTTGAAACAAACCTTATACCAACCCTTCTGACCAGCGTCAGATGCCAATACCTTTCTAAGAACAAACCTATGTCCAGCAGTGGACTGTTAAATGCTGTTGATGATGATGATGAATCTTTACATCCGCTTGTTCGTAATGGAAAAGGGTCATGTCAATTATTGACCAAAAAAAAATATAGTGTACCTGTTCTCGTACGAGCTGCAGGAGTAACTTTGGATGCTGAGCGAACAGGTGTTCCTTCAGGTTATCATACGAGGTGTCTTCTAGAACCTGTCTGCAGACTACGCAGCGCACCTTCGTGCCTTCCTGCTCAAAGTAGTTCCACAGGTCATTCAACTTCTGTGACTCTTCTTGAGTGTCTTCGTCTGTCAACAAAATAAAAACATATAAATAAAAATAAAAAAACACCTCAGTTTAGGGTTTGAGGTGACCTTCAAGCGACTGAAACAGAGTTACTTCTAATTCTTTATTTCTATTATATGTTAATTTACCGGTAAAACCTAAGATTTACCAACGAGTTATTGTGAAAGTTCGAATTTCAAGCATTTACCACCATTCACTTGGTAAATCTTCAGATTTACTTCAAATACATGGTAAATGTCGATAAACAGACATATTTCACCAATAATAAAGGGGATCTGGATACACTGTATGTATTTAGAAATATATAAGTATGTTTCTCAGCAGTCTGGTTACCATAGTACAGGTTCTACCCAGTATGGGATCAGATTTAGTTTTTTTAATCTGTTTTAACAATAAGAAATAGTGGCCGCCATGTTGTCATTACGTCATACGGTTGTGTAAACTAAAAAAAGAACATACAGACGAATCGAGAACCTCCTCTTTTGTGTTTTTGACGTCGGTTAAAAAGAGTCGTTTTGTTAACTGGTCGCATTTGTTTACACAAGAAAATTGATGTCATGACCAAAGACTGATATGGCATCCACAGCGTCATTACGCGGGAAATTTGAAAATGTAAAACATGCTTAAAGACCTTGGATTTCCATTTTTTTTTTTTTTTTTGAAGACAACGCCCGCATTAGGAATAAATCCTGTGTCGCGGGGACACAACACTCGGCGTAGTAGGAAGCGGCGTGGCGACCGCTTAAACCACTACGCCATCCGTGCAAGAGCTTAAGTAAGCTCTTGTCTTGAACGAATATCCAAAGCGGCATTGTTAGGCTTGTATCAAATATGGTTAGGTAGAGGGGGGTAATACAGCAGACAGATGAGCGCTGTTGCGTCGCAGGGAGTACTCCCTAAACCTACACCTGGGTCGCAACTCTCAGGCGCTGTCGAAGTCGCATGTGTTACCCTCATCTATCACGCGATGGACCCGGCACCCGCACGCTGAATTCAGGGAAGTCCAAGAAATAGGTCTTTCAATGCATTTTTATGACACTTACCGATTATTTTTTTTTTTAAAAAATTAAAAATAATCGGTAAATAATAATAATATTAGCACTTTAGAACCTAATTCAGACACCTATAAAATGGGTGGAATACCCTATTAGTGAAGACCTCAAAACAGACTTCCAAAATTTCTTTACATAATTAAAAGAGAATTTACCAAAATAGTGTTAAATAAAAAAGTCATAAGGAACAGATAATGTAAGTTACATTCATCATTATCATCATCAACAGCCATTACTAGTCCACTGCTGGACATAGGCCTCTCCTTAGAAAGGAGGGTTTGTCCTACTATACCACGCTGGCCAGACGGGTTGATATAGGGTTTGTTTCAAGTTTTCCTTCTCTTTGCAGTGGTTTTGTCCTGCGTAGTTTGCTTCCTTAGTCGGCTCTTACGACACCCACGGGATGAATAGGGGTGATGACATTCCGTATTCTTAATCCGTCACCACATATTTACAGTTACATCCAGAAAACAACTATTTATCTGTACTGATGAACTTATTTACAAAATTGTTATAAAGTTAGTGTTTGAAAGATATCAGGTAAATAGTTTTAAACTAAGCGAATAACGGTATTTCAATAACTCCAATAAAATGACGATGTAATTACGGCAAATAAAACTGTGTACGCGTCATGTATTTAATTATGTGAGTCGTTTTTATTAAGGAAAACCTAATATAGTGAGAAATACAACCAGTTTCCTGTAATTTGATTCTGACTATTATTATAAATACTAGTCAGACTCATGTCAAAACAGTGTCATTGGAACGAAGTTCCTTATCGCGCGTTGTGAAAGGGGGCTAGACGGAAAAAAAATCTCACGAAAAGTTGTAACGACACTTTTTATGTCAGTCATTCAGCGCCATCTATCGAATAGATAGGAAATCATTTCTCAAGGAGATTTTACCAATGTATAAATTGTTTTAATTAGAAACCAACTGAAAAATATGTAGGTAATAGCCGCTTTCATAGATGGCATTGTAATTAAAATCGTGTCGAATCAGTTTTACTCGATCGTCACAACTTTGTTCTTATCGGGTGTCCCACGACACCACACTTTTTTAATTAAACGACAGACGCGGTATATTTTTGTATGTTACACTAAGATGTGACGTCATTGCTAGCTATTGTCAAACAATTTAGTATTGATATGAAGATATAAAAATCAAGTGCGAGTCGGACTCGCCCACCGGGGATTCCGTAGTTACATATTATAAATAGTTAAGGAATTGAGATTCGCAGTTTTTTCACTGAGATTTTCAGCCGAAATTTATTTTCCAAAACCTATAATTATTGTTTCATAAGTGAAATTGTACTTCGACGCTTAGTTATGTAAAGTTTAATAAGTGCCGTACTTTAAAAAAAGACTATTTTTTAAAGCTGTCATACAAATGTATAGATATTATAAATAATATACAAATAAATAAAATTGGAGTGTCTGTTTGTAATATTAAAATAACCGCTTTTAACTAAATGCATATGTATGTTTACACGGTAAATATGCCAAAATATATTTTTTTACAATTTTTGTCTGTCTATCTGTCTGTTTGTTACGGGTAATCTCTGGAACGGCTGGACCGATTTCGACGGGACTTTCACTGGTAGATAGCTGATGACATAAGGAGTAACTTAGGTTACTTTTTTTAGACTAGCTTTTCCCCGCGGCGTTGCCCGCGGTTATAACAACAAACGCGGGTAACACCGCGGGTTTCAGCTAGTTTGTAATAATTTAAAAAAGGGGTTTCCACACATAGAAAAAAAAATTGGTTGCCTGTAAAGTCGGTATACGGGCGAAAGTTTTACGTGACAACGACTATGTCTGTCTCTCTCGCTCTTAGGCGGGCTAACCATGCCCGATTGGAAGGGACGCGTGCCTCTCACTCGCTCTCATTGTGAGCGCATAACGTGAGCGGAGCGTAACGCAGTTTCTTGAAGTGTCACCCGGCAAACCAATTTATAAGACGTTGTCACGTCAAAAGTATGTATTGGGATCTGTTAGTATCGCTGTTTTACATGTATTAGTATTGTAGAGAAGAAAAAATTATTCGCAGTATTTTTTATGGTGTAAGGAGCAAACGTGCTGGTGAGACAACTCATGTAAGTACTTACCACCGTCCATGGGCACCTATAACGTAAGGTAGTCACTAGTGAGTTAGCGGCATTTCACTGGCCTATTCTTTCTTTCTTTTAAAAAGACATCTCCCTCATTAGGAATATATCCTGTGTCGCGGGGGACTTTACAAACATACATGAAACGGACACAAACAACATCCAGACTCAGAACAACAATTTGTGGATCACACAAAGTTTCGTCCCATGTGGTGTTTGAACCCACAACACTCGGCGTAGTAGGAAGCGGCGTGGCGACCACTTAACCATCCGTGGAGTCAAATGGTTGGTGGCTCTGACTGTTACGCCAGAGGTCGTGGGTTTGATTCCCATCCAGGATAAATAATTGTATAATAATAATAATAATAATCTTCTACCATATTCACACAACGCCATCTAGTCCCAAACTAAGCAGAGCTTGTACTATGGGTACTAGACAACTGATATAAATACATATTTACTTTTTTTTTTGTAAATACATACATATCATACATATAAACACCCAGACCAAATCTAACATTAAATGTTCATGCACACAAATGTTTGACTTGAGCGGGAATCGAACTCGCGACCAAATTATGAGCATCATTTGTTCTGTCTGGGTCTAATTTTTCTATACTTCAATTTCACTCATTTCTATAGATATGTATGTATTCAGAAACGTAAAAGTATGTTAATCAGCCGTCTGGTTACCATAGTACAGGCTCTGCCTAGCTTGGGATCAGACGGCCGTGAAATGTATAAAAATATTATTTAATTTTGTGTCTCCCCTCCAGACATAGGGGAAGGGAGGGTTTGGACTCTGGTTACCTCACTCACTCTGAAAAGGATAGATAGATATATAGATAAATACTTTATTTGTACACCAGGGTTAATATATACATACGCTAATTTTTAACTATTAGAGACAGATAATGCTCATATAGCATAGTCTTGAAGGTGGTTACGGATTGCGCACGTCTGATAGTAACCGGCAAGGCATTCCATAAGCGTGCAGCTTCTACGGAAAATGATTTTGTGTAGAAATTGGTAGAATGCCTTGGTATTTCCAATCTCAGGCTTTCCGAGGTAGGAATGATGGCAGGTATTTCCAAGGAATGAAAGAAGCAGTGCCAAAACATGGATCTCTTACGATAATAAGGAATTAAATAAAATAAAAATGTATGTAGGTATGTACAAAACCATTAACTTTATTATAACTTTTCATTTGAAGTGTCAGTATTAAAAGTTTTGTATGTATTCTTAGCCATAATAACATCACTAGTATTATGCACTGCTATTTCGGGCATACTGTTATTAGCACCGTTATTTATCATAACGGTTATCGGTTTCTCATTTACCGTCACTGATAATGACGTTTTCAGTGAAATTTTGGCGGCGAATATTTGTTTTATAAAGTCGCTCTGTAACTGATCTGAGATATTTTCAGGTAACTGTCTCAACAAAGAATTGTCCAAATATATTTAAGCTGTCATCTTTTGAAGTATTTTTTTGCGAGTATTCGTCACAGGTATTTTCAGGTATATCGATACTTGTATCACTATTTTGGAACTGTTCTTTTGTGACCAGTTTCCTCTTGAGTTTTTTATCTGTGTGTCCGTGTGGTGACGGATTAAGAATACAGAGTGTCACCACCCCTATTCATCCCGTGGGTGTCGTAAGAGCCGACTAAGGGAAAAAACTAAGCAGGACAACAGCATTGCAGAGAGAAGGAAAACTTGACACAAACCCTTTACCAACCCGTCTGGCCAGCGTGGTATAGTAGGCCAAAACCTCCTTTCTCAGGAGAGGCTTATGTCCAGCTGTGGACTATTAAAGGCTGTTGATGATGATTGATGATGATGATCTGTGTGTTTTATTCTCTTTGGTGGCGTGGCATGTTGTTCTATAATATCACTGTTGTCTATCGATTCTTCTAAAAACACTTCATCTGTTTGTATCGGGTCTTTCTGTAAAAAATAAGTATTGAATACAGATATTCATTATGAAATTCATCATCATCAACAGCCTTTAACAGTCTACTGCTGGACATGGGCCTCTCCTTAGAAAGGAGGCTTTGGCCTACTAAACAACGCTGGCCAGACGGGTTGGTACAGGATTTGTGTCAAGTTTGCCTTCTCTCTGCAGTGCTGTTGTCCTTCTTAATCCGTCACCACACGGACTTATGAAATTAATAAATTGTAAAGTTTTTAAATTTTCAATGTATATTTTATGATACTGGAAGCAAACGCATAACCACACTGATAAGCACAGTTGTAAGTGAGGTAGTGGTGGTAAATAGCCACCATCGCTCACGTACACCTGCAACTCAAAAGTCACAACTATAGTTGTGTTGACGGCTTTTGAGTGCCCACACAAGGGATGCAATAAAATCACAATCACATATGATAAATCATATGATTCCATTTTTTTTTATTAAAATCACAGATGTAACTAATTTACAAAAACCACTGCGACTTATTATTATTATTAGACTTGCGAAAGGTGTAAATCGAAAAAAAAGTCGAAAAAGAATCTTTGATGGATAGAGTCTATGACCAAATCACAATCAATTTTGAAATCGCAGTGAGAAAACCAATCATGTCATCAAATGATTATGATTTTATAGTAGCAATAACTTCCATGGCCACACCCTCAGATTTAGAAAACGAAGGGGACAGAGTCCAACAAGCTTCTCCCCTCCCAAAAGCATTATCTTATTAATTTACAAATACCTCTCCATCTGACTCGGCTATCTCGTCAAGCTGTCCATCAGTTGATATTATTACTTTCTTCTCTTAAAAGCAAAAGTATACAACTATTTGATTGCTTGGTGGTGCAGTGGTAGTGGTAGTGGTAGTGGTAAAATAATTTTGAAAAAAAGAGTTGGGTGCCTGTTGTCAATAGTAAAAAGCACCCCACGCTTTTTTTCAATAAAATTTATTTTCTATTTTTTAGTTTGGTTTTCTATAAAAAGCGTATTTTTTAGTTTTTTATTACTTTTTTTTAAATTAGTGTATTGTCATCGGTCCTCGATATATCTACAAAGTTTGAAGGAATTCTGACTGTTTAAAGTCAGTCAAAATCACGCCCAAAGGAGTCGGTTACAAACAAACACACAAGTGAAGCTAATATAAAGCGTGTAAAAAGATCTACCAAATAATCCGCGATGGTATATGTCTATCTGCTAAGGATAACCCAAAGAAACCCTTTTATATCTTTTACATATTACAAAAAATAATGGGTAATTTACGAAACAATTTTCAATAATATTCCTTATCCAAATACGTTAGGTACGGTAGTCTTATCATAATAATAGTATAATTAATCACTCCACACTGACACCACATTTGTAGTATTAGTAGTATCTACATTGGACCCGTGCGAATCCTAAGATACTCGTAAGAATACCACAAAACATCTCGGAAAATTTAATTATTCTAGCTCTTTATCACATCAATAGCCTATAAAATCTACTGCTTTACATAGGCCTAAAATAGAGTAGAGAAAAAAAAACCAAAATCATAGACAATCATTTTATTTTTGGCATTAACTCCCATTTTCTATATCGGTGTCATCATTTCTATCGATGTCCCTTGTCAGATTAACATCACTAGTGCTGTTCCCAGTCATATCTGGTATACTTGTATTAGGACTGTTATTTATCGTAACAGTACCGGTTCTCTCATTTAAAGTCGCCGAGTACGACGTCTCGAGTGCAATTTTTGCTGTAAATATTTGTTTAATAATATCACTTTGTAATTGATCTGACACATGTTTAGGTAATTCTTTTAATAACGTTATAACATATTGTCCAAATATATCTATACTGTTTGTTTTTGAAGTATTTTTCGTAGGAGTTTCGTTACTGCTGTCATCGACAGAATCGATATTTTCGTAACTTTGAAACCGTTCTTTCGATACTCGTTTTCTTTTGAGTGATTTTTTATCTAATATTTTGATTCGTTTTGATGGCGTCGTATTTTCTATGTGCTCTAAAATATCATTATCTATTGAATCTTCTATATATACTTCGTTTGTAGCTACTGGGTCCTTCTGGAAAGAAAATAAATATTAGTTCATCATCATTATCAACAACATTTAATTGTCCACTGCTGGTCATAGGCCTCTCCTTAGAAAGGAGGTTTTGATCTACTATACCACGCTGTCCAGACGGGTTGGTATAGGTGTCAAGTTTTCCTTCTCTCTGCAGTGCTGTTGTTCTGCGTAGTTTTTTCCCTTAGTCGGCTCTTACTACACCCGCTGGATGAATAGGGGATGTGACACCACGAGGACAGACTATTGTCAAATTAAGAATTTGCTAAAGAAACATTATGTCTTAATCGACGAGGGAAAACAACATGAAATACGTTGTCCTGCTTGTTTGCTTCTATACCTTAAGAAAAGACTGGCAGAAAATGCTTTCAGCATTTAATCCGCCTTTGTACACATTGTGCTCAAACTATTTAAAATAACGATTATTTTTAAATGGCAATACCTCTCCATCTGACGTGGCAATCTCGTAAAGTTGTCCATCAGTTGATATTATAACCTTCTTGTCCTAAACACAAAAAGGTTCCATGTAACACAAATTTAAAAAAAAATTAAGTAACTAGGCTACGAGTACTTCTTATTTCGTGTTTCTAATTTTGATAATGACGAACTTAAATACAATCGTTCATCAACAGCCTTTAATAATCCACTGCTGGACATAGGCCTCTCTTTCGAAAGGAGGTTTTGGCCTACTATACCACGCTGGCAAAACGGGTTGATATAGGGTTTGTTTCAAGTTTTCCTTCTCTTTATAGTGCTGTTGTCCTGCGTAGTTTGCTCTTACGACACCCACGGGATGAATAGGGGTGGTGACACTTCGTATTCTTAATCCGTCACCACACGGACTTTATTTATCCTTACCCCTCCCTTTTCTTAAAGGATTATTTCTGGAATAGAAACTATCCTAAGTCCTTTCCCAGAACTCAATCTATCTCTATACCAAATCTTATCGAAATCGCTCCAGAGGTCTAAACGTTAAGAGGTAACAGACAGACAGATACATTTTCGCATTTATAATATTAGAATGTATTACACCGTAGGAGCAATACTTATAACCCTACATTTACCGGAGCCTTACCCCCTCCTCCTCCGCCTAATTCTGGAGGGGGAGACTTAAATGGTGGCAACACACGTGTGACTCCTTAAGTTACACGATCCATTTACCATCAGACGTTTGTCCCTACACCTTAAAAAAAGCAAAAAAAATATTACTTACATTCCTATCATTAATATCATCATCAATGGTGATATGAGGGTGAACCCTCTGGATATGCTTCCTCAAATTACTGATGCTGGTCATGAAGGACAGCTGCCTTTTGCATATCAAGCAGACTGCGTTCCTCGCCTCTTCATCTATCACCTCCATGAACCGCCATACTGCTGATGCGTTGGCTCTTTTTAACTGTCTGTTGGCGAAGAATATTATTCCTTTATTACTAGAATTTTCCTGAAGAAACCATCAAGATCTTTGATTCCGGTTCGGATAGTCAATAACCGGTAGCCGGACTTCCAACAGATTAAGCATGCTTGGGATATGTTCGGACTATAGAAGACAACGAAACTCTCCCCAGATAATAGTCCGGGGTAAATCTGGGGAGAGTGACTGAAACGGTGACCACGTGCTTGTGTCTCTTGAAGTTCTTGAGTGGATGGCAGCCATGGGCGACGTTAGGTAGTCACTTCCCATCTTGTGAACCGCCAAGGCCGAGAGTTCGATTGCCCTTTCTTCTCATAAGGCTCATCATCATCATCAACAGCCTATAACAGTCCACTGCTGGACATAAGCCTCTCCTTAGAAAGGAGGTTTTTACCTACTAGACCATGCTGGCGAGACGGGTTGGTATAGGATTTATTTCAAGTTTTCCTTCTCTTTGCAGTGCTGTTGTCCTGCGTAGTTTGCTCCCTTAGTCGGCTCTTACAACGCCCACGGGATGTATAGGGGTGGTGACATTCCGTATACTTAATCCGTCACCACACGGACTCAACCCCTGAGCCATAAGGTTCAACCCCTATGAAACGAGCGGTTTTAGAAACAGAGATTGTTGCTATGACTCTAGAGTCAACATTAGAGCAGATTTCAAACAATTTTTTATGAAAAAAATATATTTTGAGTTCGAGTTTGATGCTTAGCTAGTTTTTAACTGAGTAAGTGAGGTTGTAGAAGTTCAACTCCCCTACCTACCTCTGATTTTGATGGGTGGGAAGGTACTTAAAGAGCCGTAATGCACATGTGACTCTCGATTGCGGGTCTCCTTAGTAGCCACTTACCATAAGGGAACCCGTCTGATTGTGTGGCTTCTATACCATTATGAAAATTACTGTGTTTCTTACTCCCAATTTCTCCTTTCCTTAATCCCGTCGGAAATATTACAGTCCCCAAAAAGCTGACATCAGGAAAGCGACCAACTCTAAAAGAAACCAGCCAAAATCCCTTGCAATGTTGCTTCAAAAATGACAAGAAAATCGTAAACTTAGATTTACTTACTTTTTAATCACGATTTTTTCCTTCTTGTCCAACCACTCTTCATCATCAGACACCATCACATTGTGCTCCCTAGCGTGTTCCGTTAAGTTAGACACGGTGTCGTAGGCGATATCTTTCTCACAGATCTTGCATCTAGCCACGAACTGGTCACTGTCCAAGATATCGAAGTACTGCCATGTTGATTGGGAATCAGATTCGTTACTGCTTACATTTTTGTTGAAACTTTTGGTAAAATCGTTACTGAAATAATATTTTTTACGCCAATGTGATATATTTTACCTGGTGATGAATTTGAAAAGGTTTTTAGGGCATTTTGAAATACCTGACACACGGCCGTTTAATTCAAAACTAGGCAGAGCCTCTGCTATGGTAACCAGACTACTGATAAGCATACTTATACATTACTAAATACTAGGGATGAATTAAAATCACAATCGTCTCACAATGATTTATAAATCATATAATCACACCTGTCACTGATTTACTAAACCAATGCGACTTATCTAAAAACAAAAAGGCAATAATCTATACTAATATTATAAAGCTGAAGAGTTTGTTTGTTTGAACGCGCTAATCTCAGGAACTACTGGTCCGATTAGAAAAATTATTTCAGTGTTAGATAGCTTATTTATCGAGGAAGGCTATAGGCTATATATCATTACGCTAAGACCAATAGGAGCGGAGCACCAATGAAGAATGTTTCAAAAACGGAGAAAATTTATTACTATTGAGAGATGCAGACGAAGTTGCACGGGTCAGCTAGTCTCTGATAAAAAGAATTTTGATTGATTTTAATGGCATTTATCTATGTCTATAACGAAATCACAATCAAATGTCAAATCGCTGTGACTAAAACTAATCATTTCATCTAATAATTATGATTTAAAGGTAGCAACAAACTTCATAAATGTTACATTGGTTTGCGTACGATTTAAAAATTCAAAAAGTTCTACACCGTTTGAGTTTAGAATTTGGACACGAAATACAAACCACTTCAAAGTACGTTTTTATCAAAAAAAAACCGTTGTTTCTCATTTATTATCATCATCATCATCATCAATAGCCTTTAATAGTCCACTGCTCTACATAAGCCTCTCCTTAGAAAGGAGGTTATGGCCTACTATACCACGCTGGCCAGACGGGTTGGTATAGGGTTTGTGTCAAGTTTTCCTTCTCTTTGCAGTGCTGTTGTCCTGCGTAGTTTGCTCCCTTAGTCGGCTCTTACGACACCCACGGGATGAATAGGGGTGGTGACACTCCGTTTGCTTAATCCGTTACCACACGGATTAAGAATACGGAGTGTTATTATCAATGCAACAACATAATGTGACACAACGAATTGTGGTACAGGGTACAGTTTGTGATTGATGGATAATACCAAGAAAGAATAAATTATCGTATTCATGACACAATGTTCTTACACGGGTATCGAATCCACAATACGAGACGTCTACACACTTGAAAGCGGTCTTTAATACTTTAGTTTCAACAAATTTTATAAAACAAGTACTAAAATATTAATAATTTTTACGTACAGGCCTGACACAGTAATCTTTACAGCTAAGGTAGCGGTTTTCAATTCGAATCCCAACCAGAACAAATAATACTTTAATGAGCATAATCATTTGTTCTATATCTGGATATAATTGACAACCGGATGGCGTAGTGGTTTGTGTAACGGACTGCTATTCTAAAGGTCGCGGGCTCAATTCCCGCTGAAGCAAACATTTGTGTTCATGAACATGTAATGTTTGATTTGGTCTGGGTATTTCTATGTATAATATGTTCGTAATTACAAAAAAAAGTATATAAGTATTTATATCAGTTGTCTAGTACCCATAGTACAAGCTCTGCTTAGTTTGGGACTAGATGGCGTTGTTTGAATGTGGTAGAATATTATGTTATATTATTATTATTTAATTTATCTCCAAAACGTATGTATCTTGTAATATATAGGTATGTTTATCAGCAGTCTAGTTACCATAGTACAGGCTCTACCTAGTTTGGGATCAGACGGCCGTGTGTGAGATATGTTTAATTATTATGATCACCTGTTATTGCTGTCCTCTTCATCACTACTGTCAGAATAATCATCACCTGTATTTTGTACGTGTTTCTTTTTCCAATGTTTGCTTAAATTACTAACCGTTGATTTGTATGAATAATCCTTTTTGCAAACGTTGCAAGACGCAATATAATTCGGTTTCCTTGTAAAGTATTGCCATACTGCTGAAGTTCTTTTGGGGTTGTCACTGAAAATATTCTAATTAATTAAAAAAATATGTATAGCGGTATAATTTTGCATTTGTATGTTTACTGCTATGTTTATATAGTAAAGCTTCCTACTACTAATTGTTGTTCTGAGTCTGGGTGTTCTTTGTGTCCGTTTCATGTATGTTTGTAAAGTCCCCCGCGACACAGGATTTATTCCTAATGAGTAGTCTTTAAAAAAAAAAAAAATATTGCATACATATAAGAATATATAAGTGATACGCTGGATGTCCATATCTATATTTTACTAAGTTTATGAAATTTCAAATTTCTTTTCATTAAATGAAATATTTAAATATCTCATGGACTGAGTATCTTACATATCTTTATTACGAGACACAACCCTAAATCTTTGTGTAATGTGTTTTTAAATAATTATTAGAAAAGGCGTGCTGTGTTAGTTGGAACGTATTCTTTAGTTTCTAACGTGAGATGTCGTTTCAAAGTAACGCGTAGATGCATCCCGTCCGCACAGCGATATTTCACCGCACGTTTTTCTTCGCTAAATTCTGTGACACATGGGATATATACGACTATCCGCCGTAATCTGTTATTTGATGCAAATTGAACGCGATACGGCGTCAATATTTTTTTTTAATTTATTTAAAAACCTCGCGGTGAAATATCGCTGTGCGGATTGGCCCTAGCTGATAAAAACATACCGTTCGTACTCGTACCCACGGATATGCATTTTTGACGATACGATACATCACTAGTACCTACTAATGTTTATATTTATATAGATATTAAGATCTTTATTCTTTTTATTAATTTTTACAAATAGGTACCTACATGTATCTAAAGGCGCTACAATGAAAAAAAAGCATATTTTATTCCTCCCGTGTATTTACCATAAATATTGCTAATAAGTCGTAACATTTTTTTTTTAAAAATTTTTTTATGTCATGAACCCTGATTTTAAATTTATTTAAATTAGAGTAAAGATTATCAGTCGGCAAACACTAGCAGACGCTAGACACTATTTGAGTCAATGCCAAAGGTTTAACTTGTTTAAATGTTAATAGTTAGATACTTCACTACAAGTCAAAGGCATATATTTAAAGTCTCTCCGAGAGATGGGCGTTTTCGTTAAATTTTGTCATCGATGCGCATCGTTAATTGGTGAACCGCATCCGATGCCGGCATCGTTTTTTCTGGCATCGATTTGATTATGCGATTTCCGATTAGGCAAAATTAGTTGCCGGCTAAAGTGTCTGCGTATGAATATTAGATAGTTACTCGGTAACGTTGCCTTATTGAAATCATTTGATACCTATTTTATAACTTTGTAAATTATTTAGATACGATATTCAACATAATATAAATAAGGTAATTAATATTAGTCTTTACTTTTAACAAAATTTGAGTTGACATTAAGAAAAACCAATTTTTCTAATTTGGAACTTGAAAGATGAGTCCTTCGTTCATTCAAAATATACTCGGCTTTGGAGAATATCCGTTCGCATGGCACAGAAACACAGAAACAATATTATCACAATATTACACCTCGAACGGTATATTTCTGCCAACGTCGGGTATATTTTGGAATGACGGAGCCACCATTCATTGGATCGCTCCACTCCCCGTCAACGTTTTGCCGGGGGAAAATTTCGTCTTCCAAGTACAACCGCATCTATCATCAAATCGATGCTTCGACTTGTCATCGCCGTGTTTTCCGTTTCGTAGTCATCTGGCGCCTCTCGCTCGCTCGCATTCGGTGAAGTTCGCATCGTATGTTGCGGGCATCCGTTTTTCAATATATCGGCATCGGATGCCGGCATCGCGCACTGGCATCGATGCTTAAAAACGTTTTTACAAAAACGACCATCTCTAGCTCTCGATATTGGTTCATAGTACTAGGTACAAATCATCCTCTATGGTACAAATACGCTGAGCTTAGGATTACGAAAATATTTTTATTGAAAAATAACCTATAAAATATACGGCGTAAACACAAATACCATTTTAACTTTAACTTTAGATGAACCCCTCTGTGGTATAATAACAATTTCGCAAAAATAGTTTAAACTTTTACAGGCATAAACATGAATAAACTACCAATATTACCACAAATTAGCAACTATCTATTGTGACCACCCAATAAGAAACAAAATACAAATAAATATATGTATTTACTGTTGATAAATTCATTCACAAATAAAACATCATTCAATGAAACAATAATTTCTGTGTACTACGATCTGCTTACAAAGATTCTTTGTAATTAACAAATACGTAATTAATGGTGATGATATATACCTATCTCGAAACTTGAATGAGGTATCTTATTCGATATTTCACGATAAAAATACCACGCCATTATGCATATGAAATTACAGTCGTAAACTGATGTTATTAAAATTAATTTGCAAGTTAACCTCCAAATTTGTTATGTGTGCATGAACGCTTGTGGAAATATCTAATATAACCGAATACAAGATATTATTCGGTCAACTTTTACACAGAGTACCAAGTATTAGTGTTAAATAACAGATATTGAATATTATTACAACAAATACTTACATATCGTCCATAGCAGGCGTAAGAACGTCAAAGGCAGTCGAAGCGTCACTCCGTAGTAGTGTTGTCAGCGCTTGATTTAAATTACTACCAATTTCAATGTTTACATTTCGCTTCTTTTAAAATTTTGCACTCTTATGTAAATTGACGTAAAAATATCTTTAATATTAATTAAAAGTTGTAAAATATAAGTGCCTTAAAAATAGTTTTTCCTGTTATGATATCATTAAAAATCCATTGATGTCTTAAAATATTTAAAATTTAAGGAGATTATTTAAATGAACTTTTACGACAGTCAAAAAGATAACCATCTTGTTTTTTGATGTGTGTTAGTAAATAATAAAAATATCAGAAAAAATTGAAATATTCGTTTCATGTAACATGAAATCGGTTTTTCTGGAATAAAACCTACTTATTCTGTATTTTATATATTTCGTACACTATCCTTAGATCATTCAAAAATCTTGGTCTTACCTATTTCTTCTGGGATCTCTCACCTAATATTTTCTGGGATCAATATGGCATTTAGTCTAATATGTTGTTGTACCACACCTTTCGCTGTGTATATCCTGTACCTTGAGATTGCCTGCCATATTAATCAGTAAAAGCAAAAACACGAAGCGAATACAAATAGTACTAAAACAACAAATATTAGTCTATCAAGAATATTCTACCATAAAAAAAACTACCAAAACGGAAACTTTCTACCTACAAGCCACACATGAGATAAGTTACCAAATATCGAGTATTTACTAGGCAAAATAACTAATACTGATATAGTGAAAACTTTAAATTCATGTAAATATAACAGAATAATATTAACAATTTATTACTAATCCTCATTCTTTAAAGTACGATATTTAAATTGACATTTGATAGAAGGAGACAATGATATAAACGGTTATTTGGCACTGATTGCTAACGTCATCTACGTGATATTCAGTAGAGAGGATTCATCATCATCATCATCATCAACAGCCTTTAATAGTCCACTGCTGGACATAGGCCTCTCCTTAGAAAGAAGATTTTGGCCAACTATACCACGCTGGCCAGACGGGTTGGTATAGGGTTTGTTTCAAGTTTGCAGTGAGGACTCGGCTCAGCACACGCTGGCAATTTACCCGGCTTGGGCGCCGCAGCGCCGGGCACCCCTTTTCCCCTCCACCCGCCATAACGTTGCGGGCAGGCGCTGGGAGGGGTCCGGATGTTTTAATAACAGCAGTTCCCGGATCCCTCCTATTACAGGCGCAGTGGCACTCCGTGTGGTTTTAGTCGGTCCGATTCCGACACACCAACCCGCCGCAAACCCCGGTGGGTTGACGGCCCAAGGGGGTTTCCACACGCAAAAGAAAAGGGTTCGTTTAAAGTTATCCTTCTCTTTGCAGTGCTGTTTTTCTGCGTAGTTTGCTCCCTTAGATTAAATAGGTATATTATCTTTGTCTTTCTTATTTACTCTTATCGTATCCTGCCGTAGGTAATAGAAATATGGTACCATAGAGCAGTTCTGATGATGAAGCCGGAAGATAAGAACTTAACAAGATAAACTGATAGATTTTTTGTCTCATTTGTTTTGTCTTGATGCATACTATGGTGCTGCATGATATCCAGGATCTGATGATGCACTCGGAAGGTGGCCATTAGAACTTACTACACACCCATTTTGAGCTCGATTGATTCGCCTTTTATAAGATTTCAATAAAAGTTTGTTTTAGTGGTTTAAGCGGTCATCGCGCCGCTTCCTACTACACGAAGTGTTGTGGGTCCGACCCCACATGGGACGACACTTTGTGTGATCCACAACTTGTTGTTCTTAGCCTGGGTGTTCTTTGTGTGTGTTTCATATCTTTATATATATAATTCAACTGTGAGTGTGTATATCACTGAACTTCTCTCAAACGACTGGACCGATTTTGATGAAATTTTTTGTGTGTGTTCAAGGGGATCTGGGAATGGTTTAGATTCACAATTTTGTCCGCTGGACAATGTTTTTTTAATTAATTTTTAATTTATTAGTAGTTGTTGATTTTGGAATGTTTTACATTGGATCAGACAGACGGCGCTACCATCGCAGTGTCAAATTTGACAGGATAACGTCTGTCGGGTCCGCTAGTTAATGTATAAAATTATTGTAATTTGTGACATTACCTGTTATGACATGCATTTGTCAAATCGAGAGTACATCAGAAATGAATTTTAAACGATTTTTCATTACCAGAATAGACCTTCAGAGCTTAGGGGAATCCATGACTCATCTGTCACCCTAGCAGAAGCAGGCCGGGGTGGCGGCAAGCGCGTTGCGAAGCGCGCTCGCTTCCAGGGAGCACCGGGAACATGGGGTTCCCACACGGGGGGGCGTCGTCTACTCGTCTGTAGATGACCCGAGGTATGTCGGGGTACCAGGGACTTCCTTTCTAGGGTATACCTGGTTCCCCGGCTATTAGTACCCGAGACGGCGTGCGGTTTTAGTCGGTTCGAGTCCGACATGCCACCGACAGGTGGTATCCGAGGGGATTTCCGCACGGAAAAAAAAAAAAGGGGAATCCATGACGTACAAAGCGAACGAAAAAGTCAGAAAATCAACTATGTTCACTAGTAAACACGTTGTGTGACGAATACAGTCGTTCATTGGTGCCGTAATGTTACGTCAGCTGTACGCTGCTGCTTACGTCACAGCGCTTGTGTCGTAATACTTGCGGAAGACATTGTTAAATATTGCCACATACATTAAACATTGAATAACTTATAAAAACCCAATCGGAAATACGAGATTATGTGATGGTAGGGAATGGCGGGAGAGCCACGCATACAAGAGTCGTCTCTAACGGAGTACCATGACCACACAGAAGACCGATTCTTTCGGTTCTTTTAAACACGTGAGTGAGAGGTTGTACAAGCCCAAGGAGGACCCCAAACTCACTCTTTTCCTGATTCTGGGGAGGGGTGGGAGGCGGCAAACGACTCCTGAGTTTGGTTTGAGTTGCATATATCCATGAGCGTCGGTAGTCACTATCAGGTGACCCCATCTGCTATTTGTTTGTTTGCGAAGTCTTTAATTATATTTTTTGAAGTGAAACTTCTTTAGTATCGTTGTGATTTGAAGCGGAAACAGTTTTTCGTGAATAACTCCGCAATAGTTGGATGCACAAATTTTTACTTACCATAAACAATTACACGACGTCATACACTAAACAAACAAACTAAGCGAGACAACAGCACTGCAAAGAGAAGGAACACTTGAAACAAACCTTATACCAACCCGTCTGGCCAGCGTGGTATAGTAGGCCAAAACCTCCTTTCTAAGGAGAGGCCTATGTCCAGCAGTGGACTAGTATAGGCTGTTGATGTGATGATGTGATACACTAAACATCTGTTAAACTCAAATAATGAAATTCTAACTTTTTCCCCTGGGGCAACGCACACGTAATAGTATTTAAGTACTCGTATTTATATCAGTTGTCTAGTAGCCATAGTACAAGCTCTGCTTAGTTTGGGACTAGATGGCGTTGTGTGAATATAGTAAAATATATTATATTATTTTACTTTTTACATTTGCACAACGCCATCTAGTCCCAAACTAGGCAGAGCTTGTACTATGGCTACTAGACAACTGATATAAATACATATACGAGTATACTTTTTTTTGTAAATACATACAAATTATACATAGCAGACCAAATCAAACATTACATGTTCATGAACACAAATGTTTGCTTCAGCGGGAATTGAGCCCGCGACCTTTGGAATAGCAGTCCGTTACACAAACTACGCCATCCGGTCGTCAAAAAAATACAAAGTTTGATTTCCATACGACAATAAGTTACAAGTAGACTAAGATTCTATTCCAACATTTGTACAGTTTAAAGTGTAGCTAACAACGTATAAAAAAATTGTTTAAAAAAACTAAAACACACGCTTTCAATAGAAAACCAAACTAAAAAATAGAAACTAAATTTTAATAAATATGAAAAAAAGCGTTTGGGTGCCTGTTGTCAATAGTAAAAAGCACCCCACGCTTTTTTTTAAATTTATTATGGGTTTTCTATAAAAAGCGTGTATTTTAGTTTTTAAAAACTATTTTTCGTAATATTTTTTTTAAATTAATGTATTGTCATAGGTCCTCGATATATCTACAAAGTTTGAACGAATTCTGACCGTTTAAAGTCAGTCAAAATCACGCCCAAAGGAGTCGGTTACAAACAAACATACGAGTGAAGCTAATATAAAGGGTGTAAAAATGTGGTTTTCACATCCATCGAGGACTTCCCACAGCTTTGGTGTGACGCAGAAGATACGTCAGCATCACACGTCATGTGGGACCGATGACTCATGACTTTGGAACCTGATGATGAGTTTATTTATACTTCTAGAATATAAATTTTTGCCCCGCACAACCAATCTGTGGAACGGGTTATCGTCTGCGGTATTTCCAGACCGATACGAGCTTCAAACCTTCAAGAAAAGAGCGTACTCCTTCCTTAAAGGCTGTAAACGCGCTTGTGACTTCTGAGTTGCAGACGTTCATGGGCGGCGATGGTCACTTTCCATCAGGTGACCCGTAAGCTCGTCTGCCCACTCTAACATAAAAAAGAAATCTAAAACTTTTAAACGAGCAATTTTTGTATATGTATATATCTTATCTGAATTTCGGAAACGGCTCTATCGACTTTCATGAAATTTAGTATCCAGGGGGTTTCGGGGCTTTCTAGGGTATACCTGGTTCCCCGGCTATTAGTACCCGAGACGGCGTGCGGTTTTAGTCGGTTCGAGTCCGACATGCCACCGACAGGTGGTATCCGAGGGGATTTCCGCACGGAAAAAAAAGGGTACACCTGGTTCCCCGACTAATGGTACCTGAGACGGCGTGCGGTTTTAGTCGGTTCGAGACCGACATTGCCACCGGTAAGTGGATCCGAGGGGATTTCCACACAGGAAAAAAAAGGGGGGTTTCGGGGGCGATTAATCGATCTAGCTAGGTTTCATTTTTAGAAAATTTAACAAAAAATAAATAATTATCATCCAGGTTCTATTTTAAATAAGAAAAAAATGTCTGTTATATATTAAAGCATAAATTACTGAACTTATATTAATGAGCTAGCCTGCGGATTCGCTCTCGTGATTATTTCTTACTAGCTGGTACCGCGACGTACCTCGCGTGGAATTTGAAAAACGCTGCCTTAGCGGGTTCGATTCCCGGGTCGGCCAAATTTTTAAGAGGGTTTTTCTGAGACAATAAATAGCCTCAGTTACTCCTTGTATAGACACCTAGTTGGTAGTAAAATATTATCAAAATCGGTCCAGCCGCGGTCCGCCACTGTCTGTCACCCCGCGGGACGGTCGCGCACGAGATTGCCGGGTTATAGGGTTCCGTACCTCAAAAGGTAAAAAAGGAACCCTTAAAAGATCACTTTCTTGTCCGTCTGTCCGTCTACGCGTCTGTCCGTGTGTCACCACCGATTTTCTCAGGAACTGGTGAACCTAGCAAGTTGAAATTTATACCAGATACTGAGGTTTACTAGATACCAGGTTGCACCGGCCGTGGTCACAACCTGGTGGCCAGTGCAACCTGGTCGAAACGTCAGGCAAACCAGAGGTATGTAAAACCATAAATAAGAGATCGCGTTAATTCCCGTTAAATAATATTAATTATCATGGAACGCGAAAGTTTAAAAGTTAGTATTGTAAGAACCTACTAAAATTTACCTTAATTTTCAACATTTTTTATTTTTCAGAATTTTTTCTTTACTTATGCTGTAAGACCTTGCTTTAAACCAAAATTGTCAATTCTAGGTCAACCGGAAGTACCCTATAGGTTTTGGGTCGAAAACCTATATGTAAGTTGACCCGTTGACCTATAATCACGAAATTTAGCAATGTACCTATAGATTTTAGTGTCGTGGGAGAGCCATGCTTGGTACATAAGGGCCTGGCCCGCCATTAATAAATTTCAGCGTCGTCAACGTTCCCCTTGTTATTTTCAGCGTGAATCAGCGGGATTTGATTGCACAATATTATAAAATAAGTTACTTTAAACAATGATTCAGATAACAAATAATTTAGTTATTTCCTGAACACACGGGTTTTAATTATATAATTCTATTTACAAAGAAATAAACTCGTAATTAAAACTTCAATTTATAATTTTAAAAAGGTAACAGTGGTGACGGAGTGCCACCACCCCTATTCATTACATGGGTGTCGTAAGAGTCGATTTCGACTCCAAGGGGTCGATATCCACTGCTTTAGAATCCATGCCCTACACCGTAAGTCATTGCTTCTTCAACAGCTTTTACTAGTCCACTGCTAGACATAACCCTCTCCTTAGAAGGTTTTGGCCTACTATACAACGCTTGCCAAACGATTTTCTGCGAAATGTAATCTATGCTATCTGTTGTTATGCAAAATAATATTATAACATAAAAAGTTCTGCTATAAAGGGGGGACCCGTAGGGGGCCACTTGACTAACTAAAAACAGATTTATTAGTTAAAAATCACGTAAGCAGATCGTCCGTCCATCCACTACGTCCGTGTAGTGACGGATTAAGAATACAGAATGTCACTACCCCAATTCATCCCGTGGGTGTCGTAAGAGCCGACTTAGGGCGCAAAACAACGCAGGACACCAGGCACTGCAAAAAGAAGGAAAACTTGACACAAACCC